TGGAAGAATCTATGGTTTTTGACTTAACTCACAAAAATGATAGATTCCATTGGAACCCTGCAGCCATAGGAGCATTTTAAGAACTCAAAAATGCCATGATGTCCCCCACAGCATTGACTCTCCCGAATTTTTCAAAACCATTCATTATTGAGAGTGATGCCTCAAGCATTGGTATGGGGGCAGTTTTGTAGCAGGAGGGTAAACCAATTGCATTTACAATTTAGTCATTAGGAACAAAAAACCAAGCATTATCTACTTATGAACCATTTCATTATAAAAACATATTGTAATCCCCTGAAAATTTTAAAATATATGATTATGTAAAAAAGATTTGTTGGAAAATGAAATGACGAAAATGTCGGTCGTTGATTAAACGTAATTTTACGAGGACATGTTTTATCCTCGTATATTTTATTGTATTTCTTGACATATGTGGATAGAGTTCGATCTCATGAACGTGTAGGCACAAACCGTTCGTGAAACGGAGTTATAATGAAGAAGTTATAAACAAGCAAAGTTAGGGGTGAAATGGTCATTTGACCATAATATAGATTTCTCCAGAAAATTTTGAGGTGTCACGTGTGTGGTAGTGGATGGGAGAGAAAATGGACACTGCCTAATTAGAAAAGAAAGAAAAGGAATTTGGTGATTATCTTCCGAAATAAATTTTGGGCCTATCTTAGTATTTGCTTCCAAATATAAATTTTCGGATCGTTACACATATCACCATAGTCTCAAGTACTTTCTCCAAAATCAAGCCAATTCTCCTTTCAGCAAAAATGGGTCTCTAAACTACTTGGCTTTGATTATGAAATTCAGTATAGAAAGGGTAGTGACAACAAGACAGCTGATGCATTGTCTCGAATGTTCAATTTTCAGGGAAATAAACCTACTGGTACAAGTAGTACTGGTGCAAATGAGACAAGTAGTGTTGCTACAATTTCATTGGATTCCATAGTGATGAATAGTGAATTCACTGTTATATCTTACCCTCTTCGTAGACATGTGGAAAAAGATGATTAGATTTTGAAAAAAAAAATCACAAGCTATCTTGAATACAACTTCAGATTCAATTCCATTGAAATTATTGAGATATTAGTTTGATAATGGATTTCTTAGGTACAAGAATCGAATTGTCTTAAGTCCTAAAAGTTCTTGGAGAGAAAAAATATTTGAGGAACATCATTGTAAATCTATTGCAGGTCATGTAGGTTTTCTAAAAACCTATAAAAGGATTTCCAAGTCCTTTTATTGGGAAGGTATGAAAAACAACATCAAGGACATGGTTGTTGGATGTGATATTTGTAAAAAAAAAAAAACAAGTATGAAACACTTGTTTTTGCTGGACTTCTTAACCCCTTACATATCCCTCAAAGAGTGGTCTGACATATCTATGGATTACATCACTGCCCTTCCTCCTTGCAAGGGCAAATTGGTCATATTTATAATTATTGATCGATTTTCTAAAGTTGCACACTTTCTGTCATTATCTCACCCTTATATAGCACACTCAGTAGCTCAACTCTTCACTGATCAAGTGTTTAAACTATGTGGGATGCCAACTTTCATTGTATCTAATAAGGATCCAATCTTCATCAGTTCATTTTGGAAAGAATTCTTTAAACTTCAAGGCTCAAAATTGTCTCTTAGCTCAGGGTTTCATCCCTAAACTGATGGACAGACTGAAGTCCTCAATCAATGTTTAGAAACATACCAGAGATGTTTTTGTAACTTGCAGCCCAAGCAATGATTGAAATGGTTTCCATGGCAGAGTTAAGCTACAATACTTCTTATCACACTGCATCTAAACTCACACCCTATGAAGTGATGTTTGGGCAGCCTCATTCACTTGTTCCAACTTATGAAATTGGGACTACAAAGATTGAATTGGTAGATCAGTGTTTACAAGATAGAACCAGAATTTTGTCCCTTTTGAATACCAATCTAGAAGAAGCTTAAGTAAGGATGAAAAGTTAATCGGACAAGCACAAAATAGAAAGGTCTTTTGCAATTGGTGATTTTGTGTATCTCAGATTGGTACTTTACCAACAAAAGTCACTAGCTTTACACCTCTTTCATAAATTGCACCCTAGATTTTATGGACCCCTCGAGGTTCTTGCTAAAATAGGACATATGGCTTACAAATTGAAGCTACCCCCTCATTCTAAGATTCACCCAGTTTTCCATGTTTCTTGCCTCAAGAAACAACTAGGCACATCAGTCTCTACTATTATACCAATACCAACAGTCAAAGATGTGGGTCTAATTTAAGATGAACCAGCAGCTATAATGGATCGCAGGATAATTCAACAAGGTTCCACTTTAGTCACTGAAGTCTTAGTGCATTAGATGAATCATCATGTTGCAGATGCATCTTGGGAGAATTTGGATGATTTGAAGATTCGATTTCCTGAATTCCAGCCTTGAGGACAAGGCTAATTTCAAAGGGGGAAGTAAATGATAGGAATCTAAGTAGTTGAAGGTTGTTATATGACAATTGGGATAGTACCAAGTGTCATCATATTAGTGAATTAGTTGTATTAGTTGTAAAAGCTATTAGTTTGTTAGTATTGAAGGTTGTTAGGACCTGTTGCTATATAGCTTAGATTGTAAGATACAACGAGGTTGTTATGAAAATAGTATTGAATTCCTTATGTTCATCTTCTCTATGTATCTATGGTAGTTTATGAGTTAAAGTTGATCAAGGGTCTATCAATCCAGCCCACCAAACGCGACCTTAGAGTATTTTATTGCTCTTTTCCATGGCTCCATGTGTTAACAATGGAAATGAGATTCAACGATTGAGGCAAACTCGAAATTGTTTTGGTATGATAGGCATGAAGTATGGGTGCCAAAGACTCAGTACAAAATTAACAATTGTGCATGTGTTTGGTGTTTCCAGTTTAGTATAGTGCAGATGAGCTTTTTGCTGTGCTGTTGTTTGGGTTTTCAAAAGCAGGAGAATTAAAAGCTTTATTTGTGTTTTCAAAACCCAAAAAATTAATTTTATATCATACTTAACATTACAACCAAAGAGACTTTCTTATGGTTGGTGAATCGATGCTATGCAAAAGAGATGGTAGCAAAGAAAATTCTAATTGGTCTTAGAGTGTAAAGGAAGGTTTCCTAAAGTTTTAAGGTCTTGGTTTCAAGTGATTTTTTTCATAAGGCAAAAGGAATGAAATAAGTAAAAGCAAAGAGCTTTTGGTTTTAAAGCTTGTAGTTTGTTTTGTTGAATGATTTGAGTGTCTTTTGCTCTGAGTTATGTACTTGTATTTACAGACCTTTCACCTTTTCCATCAATGTTTTTTATGTTCACATTTGAAGCCGACCAGGACCACTTTCCAAAAAGTAATGCATTAATAGGAAAGTAATCCAAAACATTTCTGCAGGGAATGAAGATTACCATAACCAAGACTGGTTTTGTTTTAATCTATGATCGCATTCCCACCAAAGTCACATTCAGTGCTCTCTCCAATCGAGAAGGAAGATTGAGATTTTGGTATCTTTGACAAGTCAAAAAACAATATGGTTTTGCACTATTCATTTATAGTAAATAAAAGGTCCATGTTCTATTTTATTTGTAATCATCTTATCAGGCCAATATGGCCCAATAACATTTGTAGTATAAAAACTGGTAATAGGTTATTTAACACGCCTAGTTCGGATTTGAATTTTTGAACCTATTAGCTTAATGAGCACGTTAAAAAAGCAAATTGACACAGCCATGACAAAGAAGACCCATTTGCCAAATTAGAGGGGTTACTAAGGAAAAACTACATCAATAAAATGTGATTAAAAGATAAGCAATAAAGAGTGCGTAGACTATTCGTGTTAATACTAGATTTTCAAAACTCAATCCATCTTTGTTAAGAACAAATACGAGATACAAATTCAGAAAAGAAAAAGAAAACAAAGAGATACAAACAAGAATGTCGACGTTACTCGTCCCAAAACAAAATAAAATTTATTGGAGATGAGTGAAACTTTCCAAGCAAGCAACCAAAAATCATGTGAGGTAAACAAAATTTCAACAACAGTAGCTCTCAAACACCTTCTAACCTAACCCAAACCCCACCTTCTCCTCCCAAACGAAACACTTCACGTGGGAAGGGCATGGCCTCCCCACAACCAAACACGCATATTTCACAATTTCTCACATCCAAACACTACAAATTCCATCCAACGCGATCCACCGCGCCGAAAGCTCCAAAGGGCTTCAGGGGCCGGGCCGGGGGGGACCGTGATCGGGTGGACAGCGTAAGCCAGGCGGGTGTATTTATCCTTTCCAAAGTCAATATCGTTGTTTATGTTCATATTGTCGGGATCCAAGGCTTCCATCCCAACACCGGCATTGACTTTGGAAATATGTGAATTAATTTAGTACATGTCGGTTTGAAGGAGAGTTTCCAAATCATATGTGGCCACATAAATTAGGCTGTCACATGTTGTGCTTAATTTCCTATTTTATTTTCTTCAAATAATAAAATTGTTATTTCACATTACACATTCTAAATTTGATTTATGGTGCTAGTGAATCGTACAATGGTGGTCAAGGGAGACTAAAATACCTCTGTGAGTCTACCCGACTTCTGAAAAGGTAGACTACCGTAGCGAAGCCACCAGCTAGTCCCATTTTTTTTTTTAAATAATAATAAAATTGCTAATAGGATCAATATCAAGTACTTGTGGATATCGATTAAATATTGACAATATTATTGATTTAGTATTTGATGATATTGATCAAATTTCAAAGAATGATCATTTTAGCGAGATTGAATATGCTGTAGATGTTGGTTTAAGTCAATTAGTCAGAGAGATTGTCCTTTCTTTCACTCACTTAATTTCAAATCTTTTTTCGTCGACTAAAATAGTTAAGAATATCATTTTGTCTAAAAATGTCAATTTGATGGAGTGTTTAAGAGCAAATGTACACATGTTATCAACGTTAAGCTTATTTCGTGACAATGCAAGGAATGATGAAAAATCTGTGACACGAGTTTGAAACATGAAATATATATTTCTTATTTAATTTGTTTTGTGACTAATAATATTCCATTTTCTCAGTACAACTTTGATCAGATACAACTCGCCTCTTAAATGGTGGGGGAATAAATGGTGGAGGTGTACATCTCAACAATGCCCAATTAACCCCTTGGAAAAATGGGTGCCTCTTGACTGCTGATGCACCCATCAACGATCCCAAACGCCGAGCCGGATCCTTGACCAACAACTGTGAGATGAGGTCCTTGGCCGTGCTGGGCACCGCCGGTTCTTTCGGAAGCTCCAGGGCTCGAGCCACAATGTTAGCTAGGGTTAGCTCATTGTCCACACCCCTAAAGGGTGTCACACCATAGAACAGTTCAAAAATAAATATCCCTAACGTCCACCAGTCCACTGCACTACCATGCCCCTCGCCGGACACAATCTCCGGGGCCAAGTACTCGTGGGTCCCAACAAACGACATGGACCGAACGTCCACGGGCTCAGACACAAACTCGGGGCCATTTTTATGGCTCTGCTTCTTCTTCCGCTTGCTTTTCGGGTGGAAACATGACACGGAGGGGACCATACAACTGGGAAGAATGCATGAAGAGGATGCAAACGGGGGCGGATCGAGTGAGTAGCCTTTTTGTAGTGCAGCATTTGGGGTATTTTGGGTAGAGATGATCTGAGGCGTTGATGTACCATCGTCGCATTTTAAGGAGAGGTCAAAATCTGTAAGCATGATATGGCCATCGGATCGAACCAACACATTTTCCGGCTTCAGATCACGGTACACAATTCCCATCATGTGGAGGTACTCTAGAGCTACAACCACCTCCGATGCGTAGAACCTAATCATGAGATTAAACACCAGTTAGTATGCTAATCATGGATTCAACATATGATTTGTTATATCATCATCTGTTGATTACGGGAGCACTTTGAACGATATAAAAAGAGCCAATAACTGATGAGTATCCTCTAAATGTTCATAATTTCGTTTTAAGACAAAACATAATCAATTATTCAAATTAGATGATTAACCACAAATCCTTAATCATGTTCATGCTCAATCATTTGAAAAGGGAAAACAATGAAAAAAATCATTGGCTAGGCTATGATATTATTGCATGATAAACTAAAGGATAAGAAAATAAAACTTTTGATATTCCTTTGCAACAGCAAGGATTATGATATAGGACACAACCAAACCAACCACATCAATTCTAATGTAACCTATACTGTAGCCTGCCAACATAAAACCAACATTTTGTTCACTTGTCTACAATTTTTTTTTTTTTTAAAAGGACCAGTTGGTGGCGAACAGTCCGTCCATCCAGGGCCTGGAAGACTTACAAAGGCATTTCAGCCTCCTCTTGGCCACCATCGTGTGATGCACCAATGCTAGAATCGAACCCAGGACGTGCGGTGTGAAGTAGGGCTTGGAATTCGTCCCCAACCACTAGGCCACCCCGTGATGGTTTTGTCTACATTAACTAAAATACATTTGTTTACCAAAATGTTATTGCAAAGAAAAGAAAAATAATGTATCGGTTTTCTTTAAAAGTGAAAACTGAAAATAGTTACCAAACAAGTTCTCGGTTTCTAGTTTCAAACAAAGTGAAGACTTAAAACAAAAGGCTAAAACCTGAAAAATGAAAACAAAATGATTATCATATGGCCCCTCGATATTTCAAGATTTAGTTACCCACCCGTTGTTAATAAAATTGAAATGTTTCTTGTTTTTGGTGTCGGAGAGGAGTTTCGGGTCTTGTTATTAAGGAAGGAAAGAAAGATATGTTTAGATGTCTTTTAATTTGCAAGTCAATGATAAAAAAATTAAAATGCAAGCAATTCATGACATGGTAATAAAATTAAAATGCAAGCAATTCATGACATGGTAATAAAATGCAGCTGCAACTATTACCAGCAGCTTCTTATAATTAATGGTAACTGATAGTGAGATGCATTTCATATAATTGATGGTCATTGATGAAAATCATCAGTGTTTTTTTATGTGATTGTCTCCATATGGTTTGTATTATCCTTCCCCACTTTTCTAAGCATATGAGATATTAGTACATCACCAATTAATTGCAAGGCACCCCATAAATTCTACTATATTTACACAACCTGACCTACTTTACTTTTTATTATTATTATTTTCTTTGCTGTTACTACACCTAAAGTTGAACAACTTGGTAGCCCTTCCTAAATCCCAAACTTAAATGGCCCCATGTTTTTTAATTTCATATGTTTGGTTGGGGTCACTTCCGGAAAGTAAACTCCGCACATTTTTTTTCTCTTTCTGCACACCCCAGTTGATCCTGTCCCTTGATTATCTTTGATTTAATCAATCAAAAGGCTAGAATAAACATAAGTGCGTCGGAGGAGAAAAAGGTGTCCGGAAATCACGTCCCAATAGATAAAAGATAAAAGGGGGGAAAAGGTTGGGTTATTAACAACATATTACCTTTGTTCTTCCTTGCCTTGATCTTTTACTCCCTAACATTACTACTATTAACTTTTTTCGTTTTTGAACAAACGATATTATCTACACTAAGGGGGAAGGGGGGTGGGCTTAGCCTCACAATAGGCTAGCAATAATGTGATTCAAATTCGTCATTGGTGAGAATTGAACCTAAGACCTCTCACTTACAAGTGAAGAAAAATACCACTAGAACGTAGTAATAAGTGACAATACTATTAACTTTTTGAAGGAGTCTTCCTAGCATCATTTAACTTCATTTTACCTTTCTTGGCAAGAAAAAGCTGATCATAGACTACTGGACCTTACCCCTACTTCAATCATATATAGAAGTCTTAGGTGAAATGGAAAAGACATAACTGTCTAAATTAACAGTGCTCTCAATCAATTTGCAAGTTAATGATAAAAACACATGCAGTAAAAAGCATTTGCAAATTGCAATTATCACCACCAACTGCATATAATTGATGACCGATAACGAAAACCGAAAAGCACTTGCACATAATTGATGAAAATAAGTACTTTTGGTGTGCTTTTGTCCATGTCGTTTGCAGTCTTTCCAAACCTATCTAGACAGAAGAGAAATGTATAATAAATTAGTCGAAGGACACACAACAACTTTCTACTTTCACCTATCACCAATGAATTCCAAAAGCATATAAAAAACTTCACCTTTATTCCCCTGCCCCATGCCCTTAATGTGCTTAGTTGGGAATACTTTTGGAGTGGACAAAGTTGAAAGAGAAGCTCATGATTTTTTGTTGGTAAGAAAACAGATAACACTAACAACATTTCACCTTTCTTCCTTAACTCTATCTTTTACTTGCAAACATTTTTACTATTACGCTTAATCACAGTATTGCCTCCTATGAGTGTCCGTGAATCCCACTTTGCCCTCCGGAAGTCACTTTGACTCAAGTTGCCCCCTAAATCATGTTTTTGTGTCCCACTTCACGTCGGCATTTCGCCTTTCCTTTGCAGACATACTCAGACTGCTGGATCCTTATCCCTACTGTAATTAAATTTTGTGGTTTTAAGTCACTTAGTACTGGTTTGATACTGAGGTGATTTTAAAAAAAACTGAGTATAAAAAAAAAATTGAGCTCAAAAAATTGTTTGGTAAATACTTAAAAACAGCTTATTTTCACAGTTTTGGGTGAAAAAAAGTTGAAAACGTGAAGCTAGAAAAAATGAGCTTATTCTCATAGTACAGCAGAAGCAGATTTTTTTCAAAGCACAGCAATACCAAACCAGCCCTTAGTACTACGGTCTAGTAGTATTCCTCTTCACTTGTAAGTAAGAGGTCTTAAGTTCGATTCTTGCCAAGGCATTCTTGAACCACATTAGGCCTAAATTAAGAGTACTCTCAACCACAAGCCAAAGAGCAATAAAACAATATTGGTGCCACTATTTTGGGATATCCTTAATTAAAAGAAAAGAACCCAGTAATCCTGCAACAATTATCTGAACCCAATATACCTCAATTTAGATTTGAAGGGATCTGTTTGGTCCATCGGAATGAAACCTACCCTAGCAATCAACAAGAAATGGAAAGAAACAAAAAACCCTCCCATAAAAATTATTCAATGCTCTCTTTTAAAAATCTCTCTCATTGATCCTATCATGTCAATGCAATGAAAATGGCTTAAATTAAATTAATGGGTCAGCCTTTAGGTACCAAAATTAATGACTCTGATTTTAAAAATCATGGGTTGTTGTTGTTGCTAACCTACTGCATATGGGCGGACACACTAGAGCCACACATAACCATCCAATAATACTAAAGAGAAACATCAAATTAACATCACAACCAGCATTTATATATATCAATGGACCAAAATAAAACCTACACATAATTAATAAGAGTCTTAAATTCTATCAAGGGAATTGAATTCAGGTTTATCAAATCCACGGGTCACCTTAAAACCACGAGGTTACTCTATCTTATGAAGGACTCGTGTAACGGGTTCACCGTCATTCAGCGTAAAGGTCCACGCAGTTTTAAGGCATTTTATTGATTAACCGATAGTTGTGTTATATATAGCGATAGAAAGACAATCCAATTATGTTACTGCCAAATCAGATGATCACATCAAACACAGTGCAGTACTAATAGCGCTCTGCCTTTTGGCAACAACCAGTGGTTGACCTTCCAAACTATACTAGCTTAGGAAAATAATATGCTTATACCCACAAACTAAAATTACAAGTTTGTCCTCGTAGTTTTTCTTTTTTTCACTTTTGGCGCCCATCATTTCCGTTTTGACAGTTTTAGTCATGCAGAGATGAAATTCAGAGGGAATATGCAACCACTACATGTGAGGGTGTTTATGTCTATCCAAAACATTTGCAATCGACTGAAAACGTAATCACTCGACAATTTTGTTTAACAATTTTATACCTGTAGGACTTGATTGCTAACGAAACAAAACTAAAGGACAGAAGTTGCCTAAACGACCAGGACAAAAGCGGAAACGGGGGAAAATACAGGGGCAAAAATGTGATCTGGCAAAGAGAAGAAAACTACACTGCAAAGTCTACTGTAGCACATGTTTTATTTTTATTTCATTTTTGAAGAAGGTTTAGTGGTAGGCTTGACTTAAAACTACTACAGTGTGCACGTGCATGTAATTATTGGCCTTTTTAAGCACGTAACAGTCAATGTAAATCTAACTAACAGAGGACGGCACTCATCGACGTACTTCTAACCAAATAAATGCTCTATTAAAAAAATAAAACAAAACAAATTTTAACCAACTAAATGCGCCCCGTTGTATCTTAAGAAAAATAAATTATATAAAACGCGTTTGCCACTGTAACGCCTTAGTCCAATAGTATATTTGTAAGTTTTTCTCAATATAGTATGGTATTATTCAATAGGAAGATTATGATGATGAACTCGTTTCATACAAGTTACTCTTCAGATACTAGTGGTAAATTGTCTTAATAGACACAGCACTAGCACTCCAAGTGAACCCTAGAGTTCTAATTCTCTATATTCTTAGTGTAGCTTAGATCCATCATATTATTTACAAAAAAGTAACTAAAAAAATTCACGATCGACGTTCTAAACCCGATTCATGCAAGTTGATTTTCCTTCAAGCGTGGTGACGTGTGCTTAACCACAGTTGACAATTTACTCCAAAATCCTAAATTTCACGTTCACCCATCTATCTATATCTCCAGAGGTGCACACCGTAAATCTATTTCATTGAAATCGGTAGACCCCACCAACAAGCAGACAGGTAAAGCTGTTGGTGTCCAGGCCCCACATAACGATTCAGAAACTCTGAACCGTGCAAAACGCAAACCACAACATCAAATCTAACCCCTCCGATGGTTTTTTTTTACTTTTTTAATGCTTTTCAAACTAATTTAAAACAAAATTTAAAATAAAAATCAGTTAAAAAAATTAAAACATTAAAAAGGAAAAAACTGTATTCGTCGTAATTACTGCTGTAAATTTAATTTCGGAATTGAGGGAGGAAGGTAAGGTGCGCACCTGACGGCATGTTCTTCGAAGCGTTTGAGCGGCTGGCGCTGGCGGAGAACGTGGAGATCGCCGCCGGGGCAGAACTCGGTGAGCAGGAAAAGCCAGTTGGGCGCGTCGATGCTCGCATAGAGCGTGGGCAAAAACGGGTGCTCCAGCATTTCCAGTATTTCCTTCTCTGTCCTGGCCCGCCCTTCCTTGCTCCGGCTGATCAGCTCCTTCTTGTCCATCACCTTCGCCGCAAATACGCACCCCTGGGCCCCAGCGGGGGACTTCAACTCGGCTAAGTAGACGGAACCGATGTCGCCGGAGCCGAGGCGCTCTGCGAATTTGAGGTCAGAGAGGGAGAGTTGCCGGGTCGGGGATTCGGATCGGATCTTGTATATTGCGGACCAGAGGGGGTCGGAGGAGGAGGTTTGGGGTCGGGGCTTGGGGATTACGGAGGCGGGGAGGCGAGCGGAGGAGGAGGCGGAGGGCGGGAGCGTGGATTCGGAGCAGGAGCTAGTGCTGCGCTTGGTGGTGTTGGTGTTGGTGGTTGTGGTGGAGGTGAAGCTCAGGCTTTGGAGGTCGTCGGCTAAGTCGTCAAGCCACGGCTCCATTGCGGAGGAGAGAGAGAGAGGAGTGAGAGAGAAGGAAGGAGAGAGAGTTGTGTCTGAGAGAGTGAGGAGGGAGTGAGAAGAGGTTTTGAAGGGCGGGGGAGACAAGAGAGTAGAGAGAGACTGTTGGGCTTGGGCCATGTCGTAGGTTTGGGTTGCCAAAGGTGGGCCTTGTTTGTGAGATTCTTATTATCCAATCATGGAGTCTTTGGATGGTGGGTACAATTACAATACAAATTGTGTTTAGCATATCTAATTTTTTTATCAGTCAAGAATGTCTCCAGTTCTGTTCACATGAATTTTCGTGGTACTCACATGGATGGAAAAGGCGATATATATATTTATCAGTTCGATATTTATTTGTGGCTAGCTAAGTAGTGTGTGTATTGTAAAGTCTACATTTCTATTTGGACATGTTGTGTTAGGTTTTCACACCAAAAATTGATAAGATCTACAAACAATTTGTGGGTATATTTACTTACAAGGAATATGATTTTGAATCATTGACTTACATGCGTTTACAAATATTTGGATATGAAAATCATTTCACTCCTTAACTTTCAATTATATTTATATACATATGGAATCAAAAATATAAATATTTCTCTTCAAAATCCGTAATCAAATATTTAAAAATAAAAAATCATATCAACAAGTGGCTAATTGATCCTACGTCTAAATTTTCTAATTCTTTTATTTTCACATTTTTGTTAATTAAAACATGCCATTATTTTAATAGTATTTTTTTTTCTCTCGAAGTTATAAGATAGTCCTAACTAACTTAAACCCTCTAGATGAACACTAAATAAAAAAATGGTGCACCGAGTGTAATGAAATTCTTTCCCTTGGAATAACTTGATTTTAGGCTATGATCACGTATTTTTTTCTAACTACATTAGGAAGGAATAATTATGAGATCAAAAAAGTTATTAATTCTTTGGCTAGGATCACTTGAATTGCAACTAATTTTAAGTTAAGAAGAGAAGATTTGAACTTGAAATTCCGTAGATTAAAAAGAAAGATCGTAACCATCCGACCAATTCATAACTTGCAACAAATGCACATTTCCAAACGTTGAGAAAAGTATCCAAAGTCAACCAAATAAGACGATCGAGAAAATCAAAACAAAAACCAATGTGGCCGGCGAAGTGTGATTTGCGTTTGCCCATACGAAGCATGGTGCGTCCGGTGCCCCAAACGATTTTGTAAACGATGCACGTCTTCCGCACGAGACGTGGGGGAGTTTCTCGAGACCGGAACCTGGTTTGTTCCTTCTAGTTTCGCAAAGAAAACTTTGATTGGGATGCAATGCATGTGCTGCTGAACAAAAATACTAATTTTTTTTTTATTACATCGATATTTTTATACTAAGAAGAGAGAGAGTTCGACTAAGCTAATCAATGGGTAGCATAATTAGTAGGAGATGAGGAGTTCGGCTAAGTCACACAATGGGTTAGCCTAATTTGATATCGAATTCGCCATCTACGAAATTTGAACCCAAGACCTCACACTTCTAAATAAAGAGGAATATCACCATACCGTAGTATCGAATAACAACAAAAATACTAATTATATATATTCTGCAGAAAGAGAAGAGATTAAGACCATCGATGATAGATTTCATAATTACCCAGGGACCATGGGAATAAACTTTTTAACCATATTATAATTTTAAAGTAATAATAATCGCCGCATCAAATGCTTCCATTTGGTATTACTTAATCATATTAATTAAATTAGTGGAAACCAATCACTGCAATTAGATTAAGTGGTCAACTTTAGGAACAATCTCCAAATTAGTATCATATCATATTATATAATACTTATCTTTCTTTATTTGCACTATGAATAAACCAAAAAGAATGCATATTTTAGAATAATTAAGGAAGTAAAGAGCGGGGTTTTCAAGTGTTTAAGAGACAAATAATACTTTTATTTTCGTGGCAAGAAGACAAGTACTTCGTAGTTAGTTAGAAATCTCTTAGAAACCTGGGTGACCAAATAAACATTATGGCTCTTTGTTTTCGAAAATGTCTCCTCTATGTTGAAGGAATACCTTGATTTTTCAAATATCCTGTACCCAAAGTTTATGAAACCTACATGATTAATTGATTCCTTAGATGTTAGTAAACACAAGATTGAAAATTATACTCATTTATATTCATTCTCATACATGGTAAGTGAACATGCCCTAACATGGGGGTGTTGTTTGTCCCAGACCCTATCCTTCACATCTCTAGCTATTCATTCTAATCCCTCGTACCTTCATATTACATTCCATGTAAGTAAATCGGTTGAAGATTCCACATCAGATATTGACACAATAGAATACAGTATATATTAAATGTTTTTACTACTATGGTCTTTTGTATATACCCTGACACTTAATGAATTATATAGGTAATTAAGTTGAGAGTAATACCGATGTTGATTAGTAGTGAGTCACAACTTTGAGCTAAACATTTACATTAGTTGGTTGTTTTGTTGTTGTTTTTTCCTTCATAAAACGTGGAATTAGAGATTTTTTCTAACTTCGTCGCAAAAAAAAAAAAAACACAATGATGGTAGCAATAGTAATGCTCTTGTTTACGAGGAAGGGGAAGTTTAAACTATGAAACATTGAGAAGAGAAGTTTGATTACTAGACCAAATGCAAGTAGTATAGCAATACGGCTATGTCCCTTGCTTAAAAGAAAAGTTCTCTCAACAAGATTTCCATGCATGTTAAATAGCCTAAAACTTGCAACAACGAAGTAGATCAAACACGTATGCAACCACATACTGTCTTACAGCATGCAAATTTATAAAAACCAATAAACCCATGCAACCACCAGTAATCCCCGTCACCAAATTTTAACCACCATGCATGCATGCATGCATGCATGCCAACCTCAAATTATCAAATTAATTAATTAAGAGATGATGGAGCTACCGAGTGGCCTACAGTACGAGTAATTTTTCAGTGTGCCGGGAACACCATGCCACGTGGTGTTCCCTCACACATAAAAATTCAAATTTTGAATATACTTCAATTTTTTATTTCAATAAATAAATAAATTTGAATTTTTATGTGTGAGGGAACACCACGTGGCATGGTGTTCCCGGCACACCTAAAAATTTCTCCTACAGTACGTGGAGTCGTGGACTAGCAGTCGCTAAACATTTGATATTTATTGACAAAGGGCTAGTGAATCCGAATGCATGCCAAGTCCATGTCAAATAATTAAAGAATTTGATTGCATCTGCATGCATATTGCCCTTTATTCCCATTGAATGAGAGATGACTCACTCGTCTGACTAATTCCTCATTCACGATGTGATATATCGTTTGTCTAAGACAATTTAGTTGGTTAGGAGTATTCTCAGGTCTTGAAATTAAATTAATACCAAAATTACTACAAACAAAAGGTTACATTTTGATTAAATTACTCTTCAAACTAAATTACGAGTTATATTTATAGAGATCAAAACCTAAAAAATCCTAATACGTAAAATACCGAAACTATCCAAATAATAAAAACCTAAAATACTAGTATTTTGCTAATAAGCAGATGCCGATGTGGACACAGTCAAGCAGCCGAGCAGGCTCCCCACACAGACAGACTGGTGAACTGGACTATAGATACTGGCAGCAATGAAACTGAAACAGGAATTGGACTGGCAACGGAACTGGAACTGGACTGGCAAACTAACGATTCAGACATGCTGATGGTGAGAGTATGGAAAGAAAGCATATGGTAGTCTCTATAATTAAACGGACGAGATTTCCATATCCCAATGTGGCAATGAACGTTTAAAAAGATACACTATCACTTGAGTGGTCTCACGTTCAAGTACTCGAGTGAAAGTCAAACAGACAACATCGGACTTCAAACAAAACCAAGCAACCAACTGCTCGTGGGCTTGAAAACCCAATTTTTATTTCTCTTGCTCTGCTTTCTTTTTCTATTTTATATATTTTTTCCCTTCTTCTTTCCTAGGCTAGCAACGAAAAAACAAGTGTGTGTCACATGATGCTCAAGCAGAGAGGTCGGTGTGACGATTCGACTCTGTTGTTGTGTAGAAGAAAATTAAAAGATTCATGGAGTGTTGGTATAATTTCTCTAACTTCGAAATGTTCCAAAAACAAAATAAACATCATGAAGTGTTAATGAAAGTGACACCTTTTAACTTCAAGCTCTAATTGGTATCACCTGACTATCCTAAAACCTGCCATAAACGTACATCCACATGTAACCTTTTGAAGTGATTGCATGTTAAGCCATTAAACTCCCATACAACCGCTATCACCACCATTCTCGCCACCAAAAGTCATCGACATACTTAATCACCATGCTAATTATTGGAATCAAAATTACACACATTTACGAATAAAGATGTAATTAAGTTAGAATTATCCATGATCTCCAATGAGGGTAGAATGGCGTTGATTAGTGGGTGGAGGTGTGATTGAATCCATGACCGAACTGCCTACATATTTCTGGGAAGGAAAATCAAGTCACTGGTGTAGTTCTAAGAAAGAAGTGGTGTGATATGTATAACATCGTGAACCATCCTTTAGGAATAGCCTATGACAGGGCATGTAGGAGATACTTCTCCATGTCTACGCATTGACGAACAACATGTAGACGAGAATATGTTGTTAGAAAGATGATCAGAGAGAATCTTCTCGTAGAGAATATTAGAGAAGATGGATCATCAGAGACTTAGAGAGAAATCCCTAGGTTGCGCACTGCCCGAGTGGGCGTGCTGGTCAAAGACTCTTTGACGCGTGCTGGTTAAAGACTCTTTGATAGTCAAGTTAGTAAGCAATATAATATTAAGACTCAAGCAGTGGGTAAGAGAATAAATATATGATAATTGCATTACCAAAGATGAACCTAGAATGGTGTATTTATACTATTCATTAAACCAGGAGAATCCCAGAGGATATCTAAGAAGTAGACATTGCATCCTCTTAGGAGTGCGATAATTACTTGCGGCACACGTTAGTCCGTAGATTGTAAGGACTCCAAAATTATTGTAAACCCGCTAATTCCTTATTAGATTAGGTTTCTATCTCTTGTG